CAACTTCCTATCTTGTCTAGTTTACGAAATCGTTCCCCGCCAGAGAAATATGCATTTTTTTTTTTTGAAGGTTCGTACCGAGATCTGGGCACGTATGAGGAAAGATTTTAAAACGGGAGGTTGACACATAGGGTAGGAATATGACCTCAAAATTCTGGTTGCTGAGTTGAAAGTGGGTGACTAAGCTCAGTCGCTTCCTAACACACACACGCGGACGAACTGTTGACAATATGCGTTTTTATTGCTCATGTAGCAACACTATAGCGCTGCACAGGAAAAACGCATATAAATTACAAACGTATGAAGCAGATGCCCCTGTACAGCAGTATTCTTTTCCAGGCAGCGTTCCGGATTCATTGTCTCCATCCCTGTGTTCAAAAGCTTCAAAAATTACGGTGTGTGTGATTTCGTCTTCCGATATCAAGGGCAGCAATGCGAGGGTCTTGGATTGCGTGTGCGAAGAAACGGGCAAACCGTACTGCGTGAGACTTGAAGGCCTGTGGTCTTCCACTCCTGTACAAATTGGCTCCACATTATGCCTTATTGGTGCTAAAACGCTCAGGGAAAAGGTGTGGTATTGTTCAAATATAAAACTAGCAGGATTTTTTCTGCTTATACTGCAAAACTTATTGTGGCACTGGCGACAAATGTATACTACTTTATGAACCGAAACATTTCGTTTCTTGAAAAACTTTCTAATTTCGTAATTCATTAACCTTTGCCTACTTATTTCCGCAACAGTTCCTTTTCGTTCTTTCAATTTTAATTTAAAATTTGATTATTACTGCCTTTGTAAAAAGTAGCTGGCGTAGCAATCTGGTCTTTGCAGTAGCACTGCTCACATGATCGAAACTAATATTCAGTTAGTGAAGAAATCTTCCCTTCTACGATTCTCGCTCGTTTTGATAGTATTTGGTTACCACACGCTCTATAAACTGTCATCCGTTTGCTTCTAATCCGTTGGTAAACTTAGGGGGAGGGAGACGGAGGAGGGGTGGATGTTTCAGCGGCACAGGTAGCAGTTGTTTTACTGTAGAAAACTCTCTTTGGTACCTCCTATCACTTCCCCCTAGGAGCCCCATTTTTCCCTCCCCTCCCCCACCCCCCGCTCTCTCCATCTTCCTCCCCGTCCCTCCAGTCGTTGCCGCAATTTAGAATCGACCAACGAAAGGGGGCAGGAGGAAAGGGGAGGGGGTAGTGGAGCCACCGACATATCATTTCTTAT